TTATGGACGGACATACAAATCATACCTAGACCTAATTTATCAACTCCAGCTAAAAATTCTTAAAACCATCGTATCAGCTCACGTAAAAGACGAGTACAGAAACAATTATGATGGTTTATTTAGTTACTGTTAAATTATTCCCGTCCATCAGAAAGTTAAATTAACTTTACTTAACGAACAGTTTTTTTAAATAAAGTTATACGTGGTAGAGCCATGGCTGCAGCTATATGATGGTTGTAGTACGAATGGGTCGGCTCGACCGGGGAAGGACCACACTCTCACAGAATACGAGCGTAAAATAGCAGCTTAACTCTACTGTGTTTCGTATGGTGAGTGTAGAGATGCATCTACATTTTTATTCTTAATCGAAGATGTAGATGTCTATGGGCCACAGCAACCACTTACCATCAGGTGGACTGTGTGCTTATCCTATAAAAAATAAATAAGGACATACAACACTTAATTGATCATAAAAAAAACACTCGCAGTGTGTCAAAATCAAAAGCATTGCTGAAAATACCACGATTTGAAAATCATTTTGGAAGACAACGACTTGCCCATATTATACCTAAACTAATAAATGAATTACACTTTACACTTAAAAATGACATTACTAAGCAAAATATAAAAAGAAAATTAAAACTACATTATTTAGATGAATTAAAAAAGCATAACATAAGATAAACACTCACGCCTGTCACCCAGAGGGGTAGGCAGAGATTATGGACTTCCATTTGGCACGATCCTGACACACCTCTCTCGCTTCCTCCACATCCATATACCTACGCATACACGCTCGTCGTTTAAAGGTACTCTTGATTTGGCCCATTTTTAATATATCGCCAATTTGGTCGATAAACTTTCGCCTAGGGCGACCCTTCCCGACTATGCCGTTCACCTCTGCAACATAAATTTGCTTTGTCACTCTTTCCTCATTCATTCTTTCTACATGGCCAAACCACCGAAGCATTCCTTTCTTAATCCTGGTCACAACATCATCTTGCAAACAACACTCTTCTCTTATTAAACAATTTCTCACTCTGTCATTCAGATTCATCCCTAACATGCTCCTTAATGACGGCATTTCTACAGCATTTATTCTACTCTCGTGCTTCTTCTGCCACACAATTAAAAAAGCATCTTACTAAATAACTATATTATATTTATGTAAATAATAAATGTGCATATTATCATCAAAACGAAGATTACTTAGCAATCGTAGTACAGTTAAAATCTACCGCTTGTAAACAACCTGTGTACGTTCATTTGCTAGCCGGTTTTGTGCGTCTGAGTTATATTATATTTTTACAACCCGTGAATGTACGCATTGTGAGCGTGTAGATATTCGCTACTATTTTAAAGCATGTTGTTATAATTTACCGTAATATGTAATAGACAATGTCTGTACGTAGGTTAAGCACCGAGTGCCGTCGATGAAGCATGGTGTACAGACAAAACTTGTTAGGTTTTTGCGACACCGTGTTTGATTAATTTAAGCTTTTTTTATTTGTATTTAAAAAAAAAGAAGATGTCTTAATATCCCGAACGCTGCCCAGCTGAGTTGAATCAGTCGATTGACCTAGTCGGATTTACCTAGTCGGACTATTTGTCCAAGGTAAACATACTCGTCAACAATTAGCGTAGTGCTCGCAATAATGACCGGCAAAGGTATAACATAGACGTTACACATGATCTTTGTTTTGTCCATGTTAATTTTAAGAAGTAGTGCTTAGGTCCTCCAGCAATTATGCCATAAGGCCTATATCGTCGGAAAATCGAAGATGAATAATGGACTCGCCATTAATGTTATCCTTTCCAGTCCAATAGCTTGAAAATTTCTTCTATCACTACATCTTATTTATTATAGCGATGCACCTATACTTAAGAAAGTACGTACTTTTAACGTACTTTTAACAGTGGTAGAGCCACGCGGCAGCTTTTGCTGTCGCACGCATGGGCCGGCTCGAACCGGGGTGGTACCACGATCTCACAGAATACCAGCGTGAAGTAGAGGTTTACCTCTGCGTTTCGCTTGGTGAGTGCAGGTGTCCGGAGACCCTTTTTACTGGAAAAGAGGCATTCCATCTTAGTCCTCACGGGTGGCAACGCATCTGCATTTTGATTCGCAAACGAGGATAGATGTAGATGTCTATGGGCCGCAGCAACCACTTACCATCAGGTGGACTGTGTGCTCGTTTGTCACCCTTATCCTATAAAAAAAAACGTTCGTAAATACGGGCTTGGGGGCCGCTTCTTCAGGTTCCAGCTACACTAACACTCGTTGCACTCAGTGTCAAAAACGAGGCTGTAGTGATTCTTAAACTTATTGGCTGGGCAACTTTAAATAATGTTCTCGAATTTCGCGACACTGTACCTAGTGCTGTGGTGACACTAGAGATGAGGGAGCATTATTAATATTATATTTTTGATTTTGTTTTTCCTTGTTGGGTAAAATAATTAGTATCGACCTTGACAGCCAGATGTAGAGCCAAGCCAGTTTTCTAGTCCCGGATTAATTAGGTTTAATTATTCTAGAATTGTCTTAAGTTTTCGCGGCAAAATTCCAATTGTTGAGATAATAATTAAGATGACTCCTACCTAGTTTTGTCGCCAGATCTGACCTCCACAGCAAGAGGTTGATACTTAATAATTTTATTGCTAATGTACGTAGTACGTTGTGTGATTTGGGAAATAACAAGTTTTAGTTTTAAAGAAAACAAGTAGGAATGTACGTTTTCTCGCTTTATCTCTTATTTTTAAATCTGGCACTGATCGGTGTGTTAAAACAAATTTGTCACAGTATAACGAAAAAGTATCGTTTTGAGCACAGTTCTTGGATGGTACTTCCAGTATGTGATCCTTTCCTTTTCCAAAGAAAATAAATAATTTTTACAACATCGTTACGTCGTTGGGTATCGTATTGTTGTCTGTTGTGACAAGAGCTTCAAACGCTACCATTATGTGCTGTAAGTCACCTTGGACGTTTGTCTTAATTGTATATTTGAGATTATTCCTTGTCGGAACCACCTGGTCTTGTATCGCCAGCATGAAGCCTTCTATTTTATCAAAAAAAATCCTTCAACGTAGCCAATTAGCTGATGCAGCACCAACCAAATGTTGCTGGTTTAGCTCATGGGCAAACCGTTCATGTAATGGCTTTGAGGTGATGTGTGTACCATGTAAAGCTTGGAATTAAGGTATGCAGCATCATTGTCATTATTTGTTTTCGGCTAAACAGATTGTCTGATGCAATTGATAATACTCGTATTTTCTAAAATATATTTGTAAGTTTCTAATCTGCTTTCCATAAAGCTGTCGTATATCGTCGTAGATTAAGATCTCCTTCAACTCTCGTAAAATTAAGCCGTTTAATAGCCGATTGAAGGTCGTGTATTCGGTACATGGTTAATATTACTCGGGTGCTTCTTTCGAGACTCAAGTTCGTGTCTCTGATCACTCGACGAGACCGAAAGTGTGAGTCTGTACAGTTAGGGCGAACACATTTATTGCCTTGCAAATGTTTTTACCGCTAAGTTCAGTTTCAAAACAGCCTTGCGCCTACGGTGATATTCCTTTGTAACTTAAGAGTATGTGTTAATAATAATAATATTTTTTGTTGAAAAAAAATCGAATTAAAAATTATTTGTAAAATATGAGTGTTGTCCTGATTCTTCAACTAGGCAGGAGACCCTGCCAGTTTATTAGCAATGTGATTACGTTCACTACCTACCGAAATTTACTTCAAATGCGTATTAGTTGGAATTTGCAAACGTTTTGGAAAATTAAATCGATTATTACATGAATATCTTTCGTGATTGCGACCCGAGGTTAAGAAGCGCTAATCTAAGGAAAACCAATCCCACATGTGTCATTATTTAAACCAAGGGTGTCAGTTTTATCTAACCACTTGCCATCGCGTTGTTTGCACAAATCTTTTAAAACTAAATCCTTCAAAAAATATTTTACTTACATATTCTAATAAATAAAATAATCCAAATTATATGTTTTTTTTAAATTAATTAAATGTAAAAATGTATTTGTAATACACAGATTCTATTTTACAGGGCTTTAGAGCAAGGAAATGACCACTACGCTGTTCCAATGCGCTTTTGTGGATTTCATGATGTTTTCTTCCACCGCCGACCAAAAAGTAAAATCAGAAATTGACAATTTCATTCGTGCCGTGATCGAAATCTGGTAGCTCGCGTTCGATTGATATTTATGGCGAGCACTTCACTGCTGAGCTACCACGGCTTCTATATTATTATATTCTATTATTGCAAACTTGATTTTAAATATATAGAATTCATTTTAAATATATATTTTGGTTTCTCTTACATCATCATTACGCGGCGATCGGCGACAGAGGGAAATGAAACAGGGGATTGGCAGAAGCATTTTCCTGATAAAATAATAAGAAAATATGGTAGCCAAACAGCCTGCCCGGCGTGGCACCATATCCTATGAGGCAATCTATGAGGGTGGCCTATGTTCAGTAGTGGATTTTTGAAAAATGAATTATTTTTCTTACAATTTTTTTAAAGGTGGCAACCCTAGACACTAGTCATAGTTAGGCAAAACGATTGCATACATCAAGGTATGACAATGATACTTTATCCAGGACACGACGTTTGAGCTTTAATAACATGTGACCCTTCATACCATAGATTATTTAATGTATATCTATCTATAAATAAACATCTATATACATCAATATGGTATGAATATACGTCTATATACATATTATATATTTGAGAGTTTATACAAAGTGCAACTAATCTATCAGCTACAAGCAGTTAATGAAAAAACATTTAGACTACATTATTAAACTAAATATTTAAGCACACATAATATATATACCTTTAATTCGTTAAAAAGCTATTCTAACCTAAAATGAAATCAACAAAAATATTATTAACCATAGAATCAAGTGTTTTTTAAAGTTTTATAACAACGGGTCATTGGACTTCCCGAGGTGAACTACTTTCTCAAACACTTACCATAATTGATGTTCGGCTGTACCGTTGGTATTCTTAAATATTCTACAAAATTCTCTACAGCCCGGTTATTTTTGTACGCGGTCGACATGTTTCACCTTTAGCAACGGAGACTAAAATGAAATGTTCGCAACCGTACAGCCTGTGGCAAAGAGAATATAATCGCCTGTGGCGCGATTAAGTGACAAATAGTTTTCAATTAATTATCAAAAAATTAAATTGTATCAGTAAGCGTTATCATCATACAAATAAACATCGATTTACATTACTCGTAATATTATTGTTTTGTTATCAATGGGTATGGACTATTTATTAACTATTTAAAGACATTACAATAATTATATTAGGTATTTACATTAATTAACATTAACAACTTTCTTGGATTCTTGGGAAGCTAAAAAAGTAAAGGTATGATTCCGAACTCGGCTGCACGCAGCAGTGCTGCCGTGGCAGTGCTGTCGCAACACTACTGGTCCCCATATATTCTCTATAGGCACAGAATAAATAATAGTCTATAGGTTTATATGAAGGCGCGTCTCCACCAAAAATGTTGACAACATTTATGTTTCCAACTGTTGACAAATCAACAAAAGTTGACGACATTTGTTTCCGAAAATGTTTCAAAATGTTGCAAGAAGCGTCTCCACCGAGGGAACAAATGTCGGCAACAAGCGTATTCCTTTGATGTTGCCGCCGAAAATGGAAACACGATTCCCGACATTGTTTCGTTTTGTTGCTAAAACTAGGTGATTACAGAAACATTTGTCGGCAACACGTGTTGACAAATGTTGTGTTGACAACAAAACTTTGGTGGAGACGCGCCATGAGATTACATGCCGAGCGCGGCAGCACTGCAGCAGCAGCACTGCTGCGCGGCAATCTCGCCTTGTCACCGCGACAGATCAGTAGTAAAGTAAACACGAAAATAAAATAAAAACGTAACAAAAGTGACACAGTCTGTCAATAATTTCACAGTAGGCCGCCCAGGTTCAGTCCCCGCTGGGACAAATTAAATTATTATTAATTGTGCATATCTGTTTCAGTGTATACTGTTTTACAAGATACGTGAAGTCCGTTAACACTTAACACGAGGTACCGTCATTGAGGTACCGTGGTGGACTCTAGTTGCCCTAAGAAACCTCTTAGAAATAAGACAGGGCATTTTATACTATAACTTTAGTTTTACTTTATTATTCATTTTATTTTTTAAAATATTCCACAGGTAGGTATGTGCACATATCATATAAGTATATTTCTTGTAACTATGTTATAAAAAAATGGAACATTTAGAAAATAAATTAAATGAAATAATGCATTTTAAGTGGCTTTGTCCACTCAAAATTACCTATTTTATGAGCAGTAAATACAGTAAAAACGCTTGTTTCCTTGTTGAAATACTAGCGCAATTACGGGGTAATATATAAAGATGTCCTTGTCGGCCAATTTAATAAAGTAAGTAAATGTGTAACAGATGCGTTTACCTCAGAGGACTAAAATATAACATCGGACATACACTATAATTAATTGTCTATTTTATTATATTGGTTGCAAATATTTTTATAACACGGACTAGCTGCGTGCAAAAATTTACATTAAAAAGTATTCTACTCTACTAATAACATTAATCGCCGCCATCTTCACCAAACATCATGTGGTGTCAAAAGATGATTAGGGATGCCAAATTGTTTGTAATCGATTTTTGAATATTTAGTTGCATTTGAATTTATTTCGAATGAAATTGCAAAAATAAACTACAATAAAAATATTAAAATACCATTTGTTTATATTTTTTTTTATTATTCCCTAAACGTATAATTTAAAAAATCTACTATACCTAACGAATGAGGTCATACTCGATTTTGAATAGGTATTTAGAATAATGCTGAAGAAAAATATTCGTAAAGATGATTATTCATGATTTTCTAATTAATCATTATCAATTTCATATAAATCACAATCAATTTGCAATATTGCAAACTAGATACAGATGTTATTATTAATATTGTTACAAGTATGGAAGAAGTAAAGACGTACGTGTTATTATAAGTAAAGTAGGATATTGTCATATTATTTGTTAATATTATCGTATGACAAAAGATGATGTATGTAATACTGTTTTTAACGTATGGCTATAATAAATCTTAGGATATATTCATGGTATTTGGCGGTTCTATTTTTTTTATTATATTTTTTATATTATGTCACTAAATGGTCACTTGTCACTTGTCAATCTCGCATGAAAAAAATACGATCTCCAAATCGATTCAAATCGAACATACTAGAGTCGATTCTCGATTAAATCAAGCATTAACAGATCTATTTTCGATCAATCGCGACATTTTCAAACATGCCTAATATAGATACAGAACATTATTAACGATAATTTACCGTAAATATAAGTAATTATATAGAAACATTATTAAATTAATAAACATAACATTACGCTTGTATTTCCGAGAAGGAGTAGGTAGAGGTGTGTTGTACTGTTATGTTATACGTCCCATGTAATAAGGGGTGCGCGTATTGCCAAACACTGGGCACAAATCCAGACTCCGTGCTACTACTGGGCACTTCAAGTTATAAAAATCCAATAATAATTTGCCCTACCCTGGGGTTGAATCCAGAATAGAACAGTGATTCTGTCTGTCCCAAGGAACAGATGTTCCAACTATGCAAAAGTATTTCTTGAATTGTTTGATATATAGCTAGATCTTGATTTAATCCGATTCAAGAGTTTTTGGATCGATTCTTAGTGTTCTAAGTCGATATTAGGACATCGGACAAGGATTTTTCAGATCTATTGGCGTCATAGATAATACACTATATACCAGGGAGTTGGCGTCGTTTGCTCTTTGTAATTGTATCGGTGTTTTGGTTACTTTCGGGACTATATAATGAAATTAGGACTTGGCTATTTTAACGGACTCTGATTGCTTTCAAGAACGACTTACCTTGTTTTGATTTTCGGAACTGTGTACTGCTCAAACGATAACCTAGCAATTCATAAGCGGACTTACGCATACGCTATGGAAAATGTATTTTGTGTAAATTGCGACCATTGAGTTATATGTACTACGTACTAGAGAAGCCATTCCGAACATTGACTATGTTCAACTGAACTGTAGTGCAATCCATACAAACTAAATATTGCGTAAATTGAAGATTTGTGAATTCCATAAAATAATTATTAATACATATTATTTAGAAATATGTTTGTTTAGATTAAATTAAGATATTTTATATTAAATTCTTATATTTATTTTATATTAAATTAAAGTCTTCGCGTATGCGCGACTACTACTCCCGCGCATGCGCGAAGACATAGAGTAGGACACAATTTTTGTTTGGAATGGCTTCTCTAGTACGTAGTACATATAACTCAATGATTGCCACTCTGTTGGAGGTTCAACGTTGTTGAAAAATGAACGGAGAAGAAATCATGCAATATTGCTGTAATTGCATCGTTGTACGCAGAACCATCTGTTGCTGCCCCCATGTTATGACCATTATTTGGTACTTGAGCTTTACGAGACATCAAAATAATATCGACATCCCTGCAAAATTTTTAGGCAATATTTTAATTTCCAATTTAGAAGATGAACAATAAACATGAAATTAATCTGTGTTTTATTTCTAATTCAAACATAATAAGTTAATGTAGGTGTAAAAACAACTTATACTACCAATTAGGTACTAAGTTGGTAAGGCTGGTTTCTTAGTGACACGTTTGAACAGCGCCGTCCAGACAAACACGCTTGCAAATGCACTAGATAGTAGTCGATAATATTCCCGCTGTTCAAGCGCGCGCTGTTGAAACTTGGTTGAAACCGTGGTTGATGCGCTGGCTGTACGACGGCATGTCTAGCGGTGTGAATAAAACCAGCCTAAGTCCTTATACATTTAGGTACTAGGTATCTTACTGTACCGTATATGCTAATGACAACATCTAAATGCTAACAGCCATTATTGTAGCTGTGTGGTGTTGACTAAGACTGACGTGGCAAAATACTTAGGTATCTTGATTGATCAAAATTTAAACTTCAAAGATCACATAAGATCTCTTTCAGGACGAGTGAGAAAAATTATTAACATCATGAAACTGCTCCGACACTCAGCATCTATAGAAATTCTCCGGTCTGTATATTTTGCCCTATGTCAGTCCTTGATCACTTATTGCTTAACATCCTGGGGTAGTGCCGCAAAAACACATATTATACAACTAGAAAGAGCCCAACGATCAGTTCTTAAAACTATGCTAAAGAAACCCTTTAGATATCCAACAGATAGATTGCATCAGGAAAGTAAAGTCCTTACTGTGCGTCAATTATACATTTTAAAATTAGCTCTCAAAGTCCATCAATCTGTAATTACATGCAAAGACTACAAAAAATTACTCAAACGAAGAGTATTCAAGGTCTCCTTACCCAAAACCAATTTGTATTTTGCCAGACGTTTCAGTCCCTACATAGATTCGGTAATTTACAGTAGTCAGCGCTTGCGATATAAAACATTGCTCTGTAAAAGAAGCTAAAACAAAAATTGTTTCCTGGCTCGCTTCTTTAAATTATGACTCGACCGAAAAAATATTCTTACACCTAGCATAAAGGCAACTACCATTTTTATTAAGAAATGCAACGTTTTACTCTATCTCTTATTATACTTTGTTCATTTTATACTAGTTTTTAAAATTTTAATTTTGTGATTAAGTAAACCAAGCGAAAACTAAACATAAATAGTCAATGCTAAATAGGTACCCACGATACAGGATTACCTAGTGTGGGTACCAACGGATACTTCAATGAGTTGTAGTTGTTTTCTGTAAAATAAACATTTTTCATTTTTCATTTCATTATACATATATGTACATACATTTTTAATTTTACATTAATACACAAACATTATCTCTCATTTCAAAACCAATGCTAAGAAAGCAGGTTTGTTAACTAGATTCTATGCATTTATACGTTGCACTTACATACACTTATGCTTTAGAACAAAAACTGCATACCTAATTATCTAGATAGGCACTAAAAATAGCTAAATGTTTTAGGACATCGTTTTTCACTTTGTTAAAAATCACTCGGAGCTATG